GCCGTGCGTCATTCTAATGCCGTGCCGGTGTCCATGCGCAAGGCTGCGGATTTGAACCCGCAACCTTATACCACAATGTGCATTTCCAACCGGTGCTGTAACCACTGAGGGCAACGCAGCCCTAATGTGGTTACAATCCATGAATGTCACAACAACTTCAGTCTGGCTCAAGGCCAGAGGTCTCCCTATCCCAGAAACATGCAACAGATGTAACTGGGCATGGGAGTCGGCATCCCACCTCTGGTTGGTTTGTAGTCCTCAGAGGTTTGGGAATGGTGGAAGGATAGATGGAAACTCTTGATTAAGGACAACACAGTTTGGTCTGACAAGTTTATCCTACAGGATACAACAGACAATGAGGACTCACTTACGAGTGGGAAGAACTACATCAAGTCCACGTGCAGAGGGATTATCCTGGAAGCCATTTGGTGGGCCAGGAATGATCTCCTCTTCAAGGGTGAGAACCATGACAAGAAACATCTTTGTAACGGAGTTCTAGCGGAACTACGAATCACGGTAATATCAGACTGGAGGTCCAAGAATTTCATCTGGTTTAGCAGGACCTGGGCGTTGGACGGATCCTTTGCTACCCTCAGCGCAGACGGTAATATGACTTTGGCCAACTGGCTGAAGAACGCCTGACCCCAAGGGGCAGGTACCCTCCCCCCTATTTTTTGCTTGGTTGTTTTGAATTCTTAGTCCAGTTGCTACTTTGTTTTTAGGAAGATAGTTTTATGGGACGCTGGACCCGGTTTCCAGCAAAAGCCTGAGAAGGCTATTGGCCCAGTTTTTCCATCCGGGTTGTCATGTGGAGGTTTTGTCGGCCTCCGATTTATATATTTTGGAAATAAAGATATCTTTCACAAAAAAAAAAGAAAAAAAGAAAGTCCACTCTTTCTTTCTTTCTCTTTTTATGTCAATAGACGACACTGTTTAACATTTGCGGTATGTTGTGGAGCAGGTCCTGAAAATAAAGGCCGGACAAACGCAGAAGAAAAGAAGAAGCTCCGTCAAGAGCGGCTAAAGAGGTGAGCTCTGGTCTTTTGTTTCTTTTTTTTCTTCCCCGTTTGTTCTCCTGCCCTCTTGTGTTATGCTGCATGCTCAATGCGGAAGCGCTGCTGTGGTCTTGTGGGTTGATGCAACGGCGAGCCAGTAGAAGCGAGAGTAGCTTTAGGGTAGCCGACGACACCTGGCGCCATTGCTATAGATTGAGAGTGTGAAGGAGAAGATGCTAGCGAGAGTGGAAGACATTCTGAGAGGAACAGGAGTGCGACCTCTGACTAGAAGTAGTGAAGGGAGAATATATGTATGTGTGAGGCCTACCTGTATTGTGTGTGAGCGGCCATATCCACCTGGAAGAGAAGACAAATTTGGTTACTTGTTGCAATTGCTGAGACTAGTTTTGGATTCATTTCTCAAATGTTCGACTTGTGTGTATCTTGGCTTTGTGCAGGGATCGTGTGATGGTGTGAATGCATGGTGGTCCCCTACTGCTAGTATTGTTCTTATGACATACTCAGCCCATTTGGCTGAATGATACACCCATAAAACAGACCTGAGTTTCAATCCTCAAGAATAAAAATAACTGTGAATCACCCGGGGCTGATCAGTTTGATCAACTTTGATGACAACAACCCAGGTTCTTTTTTTTTCTGTTTTGTTAATAGCCCTGGTGGTTTCCTACAATTTTCTGTCTCTGCTGTCTAAGCCTAAGTGATTTCTGCTTTTTTTCCTTTTCTTTCTTTTTTTAATGGCATGATGTGGCAGCTATCAGGTCACTCGCTGATTGGCCTTGTCCTCGGTTCAATTCTCACTGAACCTCCTCCCTTCTCCACCATGAACTTCTTTTCTTTTTTCTTTTTTTTACAACGAAAGGTGGAGCGTCTTCTTATAAATCTGTGGATGTCGCGGTCCCCCTGAGGCCCGGCAGTTAGGCCGGTCCAGTTTCTCAGGTCACTCGCTGATTGGCCTTGTCCTCGGTTCAATTCTCACTGAACCTCCTCCCTTCTCCACCATGAACTTCTTTTCTTTTTTCTTTTTTTTTACAACGAAAGGTGGAGCGTCTTCTTATAAATCTGTGGATGTAGCGGTCCCCCTGAGGCCCGGTAGTTAGGCCGGTCCAGTTTCAGGCCGTCGGCCTGATCCTGGTCCAGCACCACTGGTTTTCCCAGTACCTGGACCTAGGCCGGTATATCACTTCGGCCTAGGCCCAGGTCAGGTGTTCGGTTCCTTTCAGTTCATTGTTATGGTTTCGATTCATCGATTCGATTGGACGGTCCCACATTTAGCTTCTGCCTCCATGTGTGTCCATCTCTCTCTCTCTCTCTCTCTCTCTCTCTCTCTCTCTCTCTCTCTCTCTCTCTCTCTCTCCATCTCCGCACGTGCATCTGGCACGCTCGCCACACTGGTATCGGAGCGGTGTTCTGACCTTTGCTCCCTCCCTCCCTCCCTATCAAGCCAACCAGTCACAAGGTGGCAATTTTGCTCTTGGTATTGCCACGTGGCACTCCTACTACCCTCTCTCCCTCGGGTAGCCAAGCCATGGACTTGCTTCAGTTTCAAATTCCTGAGGAAGTGACATGGCAGCAACATCTCCATCAGCATCGGCATCTTCTTCAATCTTCAAGATCTTACCACCGTGAGAGTGTGTGGCCGCCTGCTACCGGGGCACAGCCCTGCATTGAATTGCCACCATCGCTGCCCGCCCGCTCGTCGCCCCTCCCGACTGACGTTTCGGTGAGATGTCTGGATCACACTGATCTCGACCTGTTCCCTGATGCCTCACTGTAGCCCCTACTATCCTTCCCCCTCACCCATCCGTGTCTGCACTTGCCCGTCTCCACGACCAGGTGCAGCACACGTTGGGAACGCACCTAGCTTGCTCGCTCGACCAGGTGCTTCCCCTCCTGCCTTTCTTCCCAATCCGATCCCAAAGACCCTCTCACCTCCCCTCTCCTTTCCTTGCAATCTCTTCTCCTGATCTCCCACGCTTTCCCCATTGCACTCCACACCCATCCGCGCCTGCTGCTTCGGCCGATTTCCCCACCTCCCGCTACGTGCTCTTCCGCTACTCCCCTACCCGCCCGCTCTCCCGCGCGACGTTCCAATTTCCTGTCCCCTCACCACGTCACCTCCCACCCCCTCCGACCTCCTGCCACGTCATCGCCCCCGCTTCATGTCCCCACCCCCCCTCTCAATGAGAGAAGGTTAACAACAGCCGTATTTTTCATCACCACTTCAAGACACCCTTCACCACTTCAGGATGCAGCCTGCCTAAACAGGTGGTTTTCAGGGTCTTCGGACCTTTCACCACTTCAGGACCATTAAGGATTTTCAAACTGGCCAAAACTCTCACTTCACCACTTCAGGATGCAGCCTGCCTAAACAAGTGGTTTTCAGGGTCTTTGGACCTTTCACCACTTCAGGACCATTCAAGATTTTCAGACTCCCCAAAACTCTCACTTCAGAATTTTCATTCCTGAATTTTCAGCTACCCGTTACCGCTTGTGCTCTCAATTGCGCTACCTGACATCCCGAACTTCCCGTCCTGATTCCACCCCTCCGTCTCCAATCTCCACTTGATTCCTCCGTCGCCTTCGGTGCACTGCCTTCCCCTCCCCCACGTGATCGCACTCTCCCCTGCGCACCTCCTTTCCCTTTCGATTTGCCGGCACCCATCCCCTCCTTCCCCATTTCCGACGCCTGACTGCGCCCTGCCCTCCTGATCGCAATTCCTCCCTCCTCACACCTCCCGACTCCGCTCCCACCTGCGCCCAATCTAGCGATTCCACCCCCTTTCCCCCCGCCGCTTCCGTTCGCCTCCCTTCCCCCCTGACATCACTATTCCTCTTCCCGATCTCCTTCCCCCCGCTTCCGCTCCCGCTCCCTAGCCGCCTCTTCCGGCCCGAACCCACCACCCCCCGATTCTGATTCTCCGATCCCAATTCCTTCCCCCTGCTTGAATCCAACCTCCCGCCAGATCCCGACTCCTTCCCCTCTCCCCTTGTTTGCGCCCTCCGCGTGCACCTGCACTCCCCTTCCCCCCACCGCACCCAACTTCCCGACTCCAGTCCCAACCCCACTCCCGTTGTTACTCCGCTTTCCCCTCGCGATTCTTCCTTCCTCTCCCCCATCGCCGGTCAATCCCGTCCCTTTCCCCGCTACGTCACTTGTGCCCCAATCTCCTTGATCCTTTCCCCACCTGCCAATTGTACCTGATCCCACCCCCGCCTCACGCACCCCCGACGTCAAGTGCGGAATTCGGCGGGATCGACGCATATTGTGCAACGCACAAGGGAAAAAACTCATTTGATTTTGATTTCCATTACGAATGCAAATGGTGGAAGCATGGCCTCTCCATCCCAGACTTGAAACTCGAGGTGTCAAAAAAGTTACCACGGGGATAACTTGCTGGTGGCTGCCAAGCATTTACAGCAATGTTGCTTTTTTTTTATGCTTTGACGTCGGCTCTTCCTATCATTGTGGAGCCGTATTCACCAAGTGCTGGATTGCTCACCCGCCAGCACGTCTTTCGCCACGAGATCGTGATCGGCATTCAATCCTTGATGTCGGCACTCCGCTAACGTGATGCGCTTGATGGTTTAACGGCATCCCACTGCCCCTGCCTAACCGGCAATGACAAGGACGTAGTGTCCGCACTTCCCCTCAGCCATCATCAAGCGCACTTCATCATCAGCATCACCCAGCCTCATCAACGTCGTCATCATCATCAACAAAGATCATCATCGCCATCATTAACGATATCCTGTACATGCTTACTCCAGCGACCTCGCCGTCCCATCGAGGTAACAATCGAGAAGACCCTTTAGGGGTGATCTGATTTTCTTTCCTTGTGCTCATACTGCAATGCCACCCATCTGATAGCGCAGAATTTCTACCTAATCCCATAGGATTATTCTTTATCTTGTTTTCTACCAACATCGTGAATGGAATTAATTCTGACGTTTTTGTTTAAAAGTTACATGAATTTCTTTATTATCTCAAATTCTTTTCATTATTTATTTTCAAAATTCAATTTCTTTTTCAGGAATTCGTCAAATAAATTTTGGATCTCACGAATCAATTCCCATTTCCCTTCCCCGTAAAATTCAGGAATTCTGCAATTCTTTTGAAATTCCTTTATTTAAAAAAAAAATCTTTGAAATTCCTCTCAACTTACCTTGTTTTGCTGTCATTAACTCCTTACGAAACAGTTTTCACCTTTGGCAGTAGCCGATGCAGATCCCAGGGGTCGATCCCGTGACCTCAGCTTACCTGTGTACAGTGTCTGCACAGTTCCCTGGAGTTGAACCCGTGACCTGCACGATAGCCGGTGGTAAGTAGGTCGTCGTAGGTTGTAGGCTGTAGGGAGATTCGAACTGTAGACCTGTAAGGTAGGAGTCCAAGTAGAGTCCAGAGGCCTAGCTTTAGTCCTTCTAGAAGGTCGGCAAGTGGTGAAGTGGTGAGTCTAAGGTAGGCCCACGTTTTCAGACGAAGACAAGTGGCAAGGTCAACAGGTAGGACCTCAGTGCAACTGCACTGAGTCGACGGAACGACTGCCTACAGTCAGCAGAAGGGTCTAGAGAGTCCCAGTCCAGTCCAGCAAGTACCACAGGGGGACTGTGAGCACCAAGGGCCGATGGTAAAGGGCAGACCAACGAGTTTCTGAAGTATAAATCAAGAGGCAGCGCCCAGCCATTCATTCATTCCTGCGTGAGCCATGCGGAAGCGCTGCCACGGCGACTTGTGCTAGGAGGTCTGCAGATGAGCCCGGAGGACGCAGCGGGCTAGAGAGAGGGAGTTAGCATAGCGATAGGGTAGATGCAGCGACAGCTGCCGGCGCTGAAGTCGCCATAGCCAATTGAGAGTGAACTCGTATCTGAAAGCCATATCTCTAAGTTTTGAGTGGGCGCATGCCGCCAGTATGCTGCGTTGCTGTTTACRTGCATGAAAAGTGTGTTTGAAAACGAGTCTGATTGCACTTATGTCATTTCATCATAATTTCTTAATTTAGGAATTAGCCTATTTT